TTGCTATTCTCCCAATCCTCTAAAGAGTGTTAAGAAAACTCATACTTAGGGCTTTCACCTTCCAAGTAGACTGTGCATTATAGATACACAGTTTGGTGCTGTCCTCGGATGTGCTTGGCAAAAGCTTTTCTCATTGTAATGCTTCCAGAAGTTCTGGCAAGGGTAAGGAACTCAAGGCAACCTATATTAAAAATAGAACAAAATCGTCAGATTTGTATGGTATGGACCAGTCAATAAAACAGGGCTATTTAAGACAAGTTGCAAAAACCATTAACAGAAGTTATTTCATCTTTTAGTCAGAGAGTTGCAAGTATAACAGAATTGTTATACAGTGATTGTTTTGACTGACATTGTTCTGTGCCAAAAAAGAAATGTCTACAAAAGTTATAAAACTGTTACCTTTTCAAATGTGGAAGCCAAAGGTGGTTTTCTACGACTATTTAATTTTTCAAGCAGAAAGGAAATTAGAATTAGGTCATTTTTATATTTATTTTTTGCTTTTATATTATTAATGGTTTGTGGTTATTTTCCTCTCTGAATTCTCTTCAGTGCATAGGAGTACGAAACAGTATTTTTCCTTTCATGTCATAAGTTTCCAAAATCAAATGCCCTATATCCAGCTTAGTTTCATCCAAAAGACAAACCATTAAATCATAACTCTGCTTATTATAAAATATTCGAAATTTATTTCTGAATTCATAATTCCCCTAATTCTTGGAAAAGAACTATAACAAATGGGTTGAGCTTTTTTAATTTAAGATTATGGAAAAATAATTAACATCCACAAGTGTAATCATTCCAACTTGTATGGCACATAAAAGCATAAAAACTATGTGAATCAAATTTCCCCTTTTTGTTTGGGTTTAAACCTCCGTATTATGTTAAAAGGTGTTTAATGCCTGAAAGCTTTGACCTTGCCTGGGATAGGAGCCAGTTCAGTCTTTTCTTGGATAGAGTTAAGCCCAAGTCATATGATCAATAAGTGCAACAGGCATAATAAATGTAGCGGGGCCTTGTCCACAGAAAGGACACCGCCAGATATCACAGACCACACAATATTGGCAAATGAGCGTTTTAAGCCTTTCATGTTTCAAATCTTTCTGAAACCTACCATCTATTTTCTTGACCTTCCTTCCTCTGTTAAGTAAATAAATTTTCTTCTGACCAGAAATAACAGTTTTTTGTTTTGTTTTGTTTTTGCTAGAATGAATCCAACTTCTTAAA